CATGCTGACCACCATGGCATGCGTACCAATGTGTCCCATTGCAAGGTGTCCAAGAATACCAGCTTTCTCTCCCAGAGTGTGTCAGGAACACCAGTGAGAACCTTAGGATCTCGATTGGGTCACCTGCTGTATGATTCATGCATATGCCTATCTGAATCCCCTCCAAACTCCGTGTCACTTCTCCTCTAGGAACCTTGCAAAGGCCCTGTTTTCAGTGTACTTGCTCCCTGGTGGTCAAGGGGAACTTGCATTACCTTCTGGTCTTTGTATTCTGTGGCATCTATCTATGTGTGGCTTTCTAGGCCAGTTTCATACTGTTTGTATTCCTAGAACTTTGGTATAAATTTAAGCAGGAAGTATGGTGCCTCCAGATTTATTCGTCTTTCTCAAGGAAGCTTGGGCAATTTTAGGTCTCTTTCTGCCTCTATACGAAAGTCAGGACATTTTTTCTATTTCTGTGAAAAATATCATAGGAATTTTCATAGGAAGCCTTGAATCTATAGATTGTTTTGGGTAGTATGGACATTTTAAGGTTACTTTTGTTGTGGAAAACACTGGATATCGGAATTCTGGATGAAATACATAATACACACCGCTTCCATTATCTGCAATAGTCACAGATAAGATTCAGAGTATTCTGTGACTTCTCATGTGCTTCAGCATTTTGTAGTGACGGATGTGAATTGATATCTTTTCTCTTAAGTTTTAGGTCTTCTTCTTCATCTTGAAATCTGATGCATATAATTACACATTAACCACTGTCTCAAGAATAATTTTGGCTAACAGAATTGGATTTAAAATGAATCTTTTTTGACATTTATTTATTTATTTATTTTTAAATTTTCTTTTTAACGTTTATTTATTTTTGAGACAGAGAGAGACAGAGCATGAACGGGGGAGGGGCAGAGAGGGAGGGAGACACAGAATCGGAAGCAGGCTCCAGGCTCTGAGCCATCATCCCAGAGCCCGATGCGGGGCTCAAACTCACGGACCGTGAGATCGTGACCTGAGCTGAAGTCGGATGCTTAACCGACTGAGCCACCCAGGCGCCCCGACATTTATTTATTTTTGAGGGGGTGCAGAGAGAGAGGGAAACAGAGGAACAGAAGCAGGCTTGGCATTGACAGCAGAAAGTCCGACGCAGGGCTTGAACTCAGGAACTGTGCGATCACGACCTGAGCTGAAATCGAAAGTCAGATGGTTAACGGACTGAGACACCCAGGTGCCCGAATTTACTATAAATCTTTACGTCTGATGTGAGTTAAGTCACGGTTGATGACAAAGAAAAGCAATGGCCGTGATAACTATTTCAATCTACTAACCATTCAGAAATGAGCATTGATCACATTCTATTCCACAGTGGGATGAAGTCCACCTTGTGGCTTTTCTTTCACCTATTAATTCCAGAAAATTCTGTATGTTTTCTCCCATTTCCGCCACCCTCTGGTTCTTTTCTGCTGCATAGCTTAATTACACAAGCAAGTGGTATTTTACAATGCCTCGATGGTCACATAATGTTTTCAGACAGTGCCATTTTCTTTCAGATTCTTTTTTTTCTGATGTTTGAGAAATCTCAGGCACTTAATGGCGATATGATTACCTTCCCCTCAAACCAGCAGTTACCCTTGTTGCTACTTCAGATAATAGATGCTTCCAAGAGCAAATGAGGGTGACTTCCACAGCCTGGGGTGCCTCTCTGGTGTGTAGACCCCCCCACCTCTGGTCTGCCCATGGCTATCAGGAGACAGGGACTAGGACTGAGTCAGAAGAGACCTGTTTGTTCATACCCAGCTGGCTTTGAAATTCCCAGTGGACTCACTCCTGGAGGTGATCGACCACTAAGTTTCCTCCAAAGAGCATAAGAGGCCATTTCATTGGGGGGGAGGCATAAAATATTCTCAGGGATGGGGTACATGTGGAATTTAGAATTCAGAAGCATGGCCAGGATGTGAGAAGCAGATGCATGCCCTCAGTCTGCCTTTCCAGGCAAGAAACTTGG